CCGTCTCTACTAAAAAATACAAAAAACTAGCCGGGCGTGGTGGCGGGCGCCTGTAGTCCCAGCTACTTGGGAGGCTGAGGCAGGAGAATGGCGTGAACCCGGGAGGCGGAGCTTGCAGTGAGCTGAGATCCGGCCATTGCACTCCAGCCTGGGCGGCAGAGCGAGACTCCGTCTCAAAAAAAAAAAAAAAAAAAAAAAAAAAACCTGGATTGGAGTTTTTCTTTCTCAAAACAGATTAAAACTAGAAATAAAAGCTCAGTTAAGGCTGGGAATGGTGGCTCACGCCTGTAATCCCAACACTTTGGGAGGCCAAGGCAGGCAAATCACAAGGTCAGGAGTTTGAGACCAGGCTGACCAACATGGTGAAACCCTGTCTCTACTAAAAATACAAAAATTAGCCAGGCATGGTGGTGCACACCTGTAATCCCAGCTACTCAGGAGGCTGAGGCAGGAGAATCACTTGAACCTGGGAAGCAGAGGTTGCAGTGAGCCAAGATCGTGCCATTGCACTCCAGTCTGGGCTACAGAGCGAGACTCCACCTCAAAAACAAACAAACAAACAACAACAACAAAAAACTCAGTTAAAATAGTTCAAATACCAGGAGTTTTCCATTACCCCTATTCCCTCTTCACAATTCAAGGTCAATGAGAAGGTAACTCATTTCTCAAACTGACCTGGATCTCTGCCCCAAGAAACAGATCCATTTGCTGAGTCCGAGCTCATGGTAATGGCAAAATGGCAAAGCCTGTCTAAATCAAGGTATGCCTCTTCTTCTTCTTCTTCTTTTTTTTTTTTTTTGAGACGGAGTCTCACTCTTCCCAGGCTGGAGTGCAGTGGCTCGATCTTAGCTCACTGCAACCTCCACCTCCCGGGTTCAAGCGGTTCCTCTGCCTCAGCTGGGACTACAGGTGCGTGCCACCATGCCTGTTTTTTGTATTTTTAGTAGACACAGGGTTTCACCATGTTGGCCAGGATGGACTCAATCTCCCGACCTCGTGATCTGCCTGTCTTGGCCTTCCAAAATGTTGGGATTATAGGCGTGAGCCACCGTGCCCGGCCAAGGTATGCCTTTTCTTAGTATTAGAGCCAGACCTTCAGTCTGGGATCATATCATCTGGGTTACTTAGAGATACTTTAAAAATATATTAATCTTCTTTTTTTTTTTTTTTTGAAACAGAGTTTTCTTCTTGTTGCCCAGGCTGGAGTGCAGTGGCGCAATCTCGGCTTACTGCAACCTCCGCCTCCTGGGTTCAAGCAATTCTCCTGCCTCAGCCTCCCGAAGTAGCTGGGATTATAGGCATGCACATCACACCCAGCTAATTTTTTTGTATTTTTAGTAGAGACAGGGTTTCATCATGTTGGCCAGGCTGGTCTCGAACTCCCGACCTCAAGTGATCCACCTGCCTCAGCCTCCCAAAGTGCAGGGAATACAAGTGTGAGCCACCGTGCCCGGCCAAAAATATATATCTTTAAATTAGTAGTTAAACATAAATTAGTAGTTAAATTGTGGTATGACCTCTCTCAGCTAAGCATCTGATACTATCAGGGTAGTTTTAACATGTGTTGATGGAATAATTGTTCTCATTGTAAAAGAAACAAAAGGAAGGAAATTCATGAAAGTTGCCGCGCCAGTTTGTATTTTATTTACAAATGGTTAAGCTTGTATATGAAATTTGTGAATAGCCTCTTTCAAATTTAAGTGTGGAGCTGCTTATGGTCAGTCTGTGTCTATCTCAGTGCCTGGAAATGTTTCTATGAATTTGTAATGCCTAAAAGCATAACACTTTTGCATTGCTGATGCCAGTATTTAGGGTTTATGTATCCTCTCACCTAAGGAGAGCATTATTCTATCATTCCACATAAACTCAAAACACCTATCTGCAAATCTGAATGCAGTCTGTTGTCTGCTATGTGGTGTGCAAGCTCTTGATTAGACTCTCTGGCCCTGGTCTCTTCCTCTTCTGATAATAGCACACCTGGTCAATAAACATGCTTCCAAAATGCCAACAATGGAAATATGGAAGTTCCGAGGTGAAGCTAAATTTGGAATAAATGTGAGTTTACATTTAGACATGTTGACTTTGAGGAAATGAGAGGGAATTCAAGGAGGAGCTATTGCAAGGATAGTGACAGATTCTGAATACGAAGTATAAGAGGGTAAATTGAGCCATGCAAATAGAGACCATATTTGGAGTCATGAAATTTCTGAATGGGGTCTGAGAGTGTAGAGCAATGTGAGCAACCTTCTTTCTTCTTTTTTTTCTTTTTAAACGAGGGACTCTTAAAAGTAACAGAGGTGGACCTTATTTTTGTAAACATTGAAAGTGAAAATAATGTCACTGAATTCAATGAAAAAACGTATGCTTTAGGATGATTTCGTAAAGGATGACTATTCTTCCTCCAGGCAAGTGTTTTCTGGCATTTTCTTGATATATATCTGGCATGGGATTTAAGGGATGGATAGTGGAGGTCGGAGTGGAGAACTGAGAGAAGAAGGGGAACCAAAGAAGAACTGTCAGTTTTCAGAATGTTGGAAGAAGGAAGAGGGAGAAAATAAGCAGAAGTTCAACAAGCTGAGTACTTGTGAAAGAGATTTTGGGTTTATGTTTGAGGACTAAAGAGACTAGAATGGAACTCAAGTGTGGCTCTATACAATGAATGGGTTCCTCTTTGATGTCTTTTTTCAGAGTTGGAAGTAAAGGTTAGAATACCTTTTAAAAATTACTACGCATCTTGGCTGGGAGCTGTAGCTCACGCCTGTAATCCCAGCACTTTGGGAGGCCGAGGCAGGTTCATCACCTGAGGTCAGAAGTTGGAGACCAGCCTGGCCAATGTGGCAAAACCCTGTCTCTACTAAAAATACAAAAATTAACTGGGTGTGGTGGCACGTGCCTGTAATCCTAGCTACTCAGGAGGCTGAGGCAGGAGAATTGCTTGAACCCGGGAGGCAGGAGAATTGCTTGAACCCGGGAGGCAGAGGTTGCAGTGAGCCGAGATTGTGCCACTGCACTCCAGTCTGGGCAGCAGAATGAGACTCTGTCTCAAAAATCAATCAATCAATAAAAATAAAATAAAACAAAAGAACTGCATATCTCTATATGTGACTGAGCAGAGTCTCAGGCATGTGAGACTCCAGGATTTATTAGGGCTACAAGAAGAATGCCAATGAGAAGCTTGGCAATGCTTTTGAACCACTAAAATGTTATCTGGTCGTATCTAAGATGTCACAACACTGAAGCAGATTTCTAATCTTTTATAACTTAATTTGCATGGCTCTTTAGAGTTTAAATGTTTTCACATTTATATCTTATTTTATCTTTGGAATGACTTCTTGAATTATTATCATCCATAATTTGTAAATGGGGAAATTGAAGCTTAGAGAAGTAAACTAGAAGCATATCAGAGTTTTTAATTAATTCCAATCAATTTAACATCTACCGAGCCTTGATCTGAGTTTCAGGTTGTACTAGATACTGGGGATGCAAAACTTAATAAAATGTGCAACCAGTCCTCAACCATTACACCATTACTTTCTTTGCTTTTCCCAAATTCTCTCCCAGAGGTTTGATATCCACCCTTACCTTGGGTTGGGCCAGTTCATAGTGAGATACAACACTGAGCATCACTTACACAAACACCAGCTTACAGAAAGTATTGACTCCAGGGTACTCTGGAAGTTCCACACCTATGATGTAGTTAGCAGAATTGCAAAGGTGGCTGGCTAGACACAGTGGTTCATGCCTGTAATCCCTATGCTTTGGGAGGCCCAAGTCAGGAGGATTGCTTGAGGCCAGAAGTTTAAGGCTATAGTGAGCTATTAGTTGTGCCACTGTACTCCTGAGTGAGACCCTGTGTCTAAAAATGAAAAATAAAAACAATTGCAAAGGTAAAGAAGATCAGGGAACTCTTATACAACCACATTAGAAGGCAATTCAGCAAAATCTAATAAGCTAAAGATATCTTTATCTTACAATCTAGCAATTTCACTTCTCCATGTAGAAACTCTCCCTTAAATATGCAAGGAGACGGGTAAATGAATGTTCATTGAAGTATCATGTATAACAGAAAAATAATTGGAAATGATGTAAGTTTCCATCCACCTGAGAATGGGTAAGTAAATTGTTTTGTGATCACACAGTGGAATACTACATATTAGTTAAAATGAATGAACTAGAACTGGAACTAAAATATGCATAAATCTCAAAAAATGTAATACTGAATGATAAAGTAGCAGAAAATACATGAAGTATGCTACTGATTACACTAAGTTTAAACATATGAAACAATACTAGATATTTCTATGTGTGATAAGCATTTTAGAATATTCATGGTCATAATAAACGTCATATTCAAGATAGTTGTTATGTCCTGTTGAGGAAAAAAGGATTATCATATAGCATGCAGAAGGCTTTAGCTGATTCACTTCAAAAAAAAAAGAATCTGAAGCAAATATTGCACAAGTTAATACTTGACAAAGATGAGTAGGGAGGAAAAAAGAGCTTGTTATTATTTTCTGTATGTTTATGCTTGAAATATTTCATTTAAAGGTGTATATGGCTCCTAGACTGGAATTCTTGGCTTTTGTGATTTTGTGTGTGTATGTGTGCAGAATTTTCTTTTTTTTTTCCTCTTCCCATGTTGAAATTCTATCCATTCTTTGATGACTAGCTTTTCTCACCACCTGATTGAGAATTTCCATGATGACTTTCTCAGTTCACACTATGTTCTCCTTTTTTTTTTTTTAAGATTTATTTATTTATTTATTTACAGATAGGGTCTCGCTCTGTCACCCAGACTGGAGTGCAGTGGTACGATCATAGCTCACTGCAGCCTCAAACTCCTGGGCTCAAGTGATCCTTCTGCCTCAGCTTCTCAAGTAGCCAGACTACAAGTGTGTACTACCATGCCTGGCTATTAAAAATTTTATTTATTTATTTTTTTATAGAGGCAGAGTCTTGCTTTGTTGTCCAGGCTGGTCTTGAACTCCTGAGCTCAAGTGATCCTCCCGCCTTGGCCTCCCAGAGTGCTGAGATTACAGGTAGGAGCAACCATGCCCAGCCTTCTCCTTTTTTAAAACCCACTTCTATAAGTGTGTAAAGTTCTCTTGTATATATGTTTGTATCACTAGATTTTTTTTATGTTGTAGGCTAAATATATATTGTCTTGCGTTACTATTTGACTTGAATATACATAAATCTTGTTTCTCCAATTATATTGTAAAAATCTTAAGAGCAGGGACAATGTCTTCAACTTTGTTAATTCTTTCACAGTGCCCAGCAGAGCCTGACCAAATACTTATTAACGTAAAGTGGTATTTTTACCAATAATTATAACCCTTCCTACAAAACCTTTGCATAGAAAGTTTAAAATAATAATTTGAGCTACATTTGCTTTTATTTTCCCAGAGAGAGAATGCTAATGAGCTGTGAAATGACCAAAGATCTGGCAGCAGAAGGGAAGAGAAAAAATAACGGGTTTGTATATTACACATTCTGGATAATCAGCTCTTGAATGATTAAGTGTGGAAAACGTCTTATGGGGAAAAGCAATTTTTAAAACTCATTTTATGACCATGGAATTGTTGTATTGGTCATTTCCAGTTTTCAGATGATCCTATGCCAAACTTACACATTATTTTGGAAAAATACAATTCTCTTATGATATGCCGTATAACCACATACAAATATGCCTTGTGATTATTCTGCCTTCACATCAATATTTATTGGACTAGATCTGGAAATGGTGGTCTGGGGAAACTAAGAAACAAAAATTATTCCACCTGTGGAACCAGGAAGGGATTTTGAAGAAAAAAAATTACCTTGAGTTCAATTCAGTCTTGGTACATCTTGTAAAAAGTGCCTGGGCCTTGAAGCAACCACTTGAAATTAAGGTTCGCCTGAAACCTCAGAATGAAAGGTTAGTGTGCACTAGTCCAGATGAAAGCTAAAGAGCACAGGAAATAGTAAGAGGTCTGGACTACATTGTCTCTCCTTGAAATTAAAAGTTGGGATCTAAGAAGAAGACACATTTAGGAATCAGTATGGTTACTTTTAACAAAAGGGGCAATTGCCATGGTCTAGGTCAAAATTACCACCATTTAGTCCCTGGAGATTTTCCTAATGGACCTTTGTAATGATTTATTAAACCAAGTCACCATCTCCTGGTTCTTTGGGATAGGTGCTACAACACCCAACATAGAGTTGCCTAAATTAAACTTTACCTGTGTCTGTATTTATGAGTGCATTTTAAACTTTGCAGTATATTTCAGGGAGAGTATATCTCTGAAAATTATTACTCCCTTGTAGCTCTATGTAATTTACCTGGCAAAGAAAACAAAAGGCACAAAAATACCTTGCAATTTGGTGGGAGATTATATATTCCTTCATGTTCACTCCATTTGTAGATATTAATGTTGAAGCAAAATCCTAAAGCAACATGACCAGTGTATTATTGCAGCCATCATGAGCCTTATCATTGATCTCTGCAATTTTTTTCTTTCCTCAAATAAATAGAAGCAGGAAAAATAATGGTATATAGAGAATACATATTATTAATATATTGGTCCTAAGTCTAAGTGTTTGTTACTTAGAATTAATTTCCCATGGAAATAGTGTAGTTAATTATGGTTAGATGCCAAGGCTGGGCCACGAAACCTCATACAATATTAGTAGGTGTGGCAGGATAAATTGATTGAGAAACCATATTTTATTTTCTTGTCTACTGGCTCATCATGGAAAAACGAGAAGTATTTCTTTTTCTCTTCTTTTCTCTAGAGGGCAGGTTAAGCTGTGGTGATTTTCTGATGCCTTATGAAGACAGATGATTCAATGATTTGGGATGGGAAGGACTCCAAGAAAAGGGAAAAGGCCTGATGTCAGGAGAATTTAGGTCTCCTGAAGCTGTCTGGAGAGAACCAGACAGGAGTCAGTTTCTGTAAATGGTGAGGAGCTATGTCTACTCCCAAATAGAACAAAATGGTACAGATGTCCAATGGGGATGTCAGTAAGGATGTCTTGTCTCAGAAGTAATAAAAATACTAAATTACACAAGGATATAATAAGCCAAGGGTGAATGTTGTAAACTCTAGGTCACCATTAAGAGAATAATAGAAATAGTTATAACTAACATAATATGGAAATAGCAAAAGAGAGAAAGGATAGTTAATTAAAAATAATTAAGCTAAATGACGGCAAGAAAAAAGATAAAAAGGAGCAAGTAACAAGTGGGGCAAATAGAAAAAAATAATAAAATGGTACCTATGAACCCAAATATCTCATCAAGTACCTTAACTATTAAAATTAAATATAAATTAATTATAAATTTAAAATATGAAATAAAAATGGCATAATACTCCACTAAAAGACAAAGATTGTCATACTGGCTAAAATAATTGCATATGCTTTTTTACAAAAGATACAATAGTAAAAAAATAGAAAAAAACATGTTATGCAAAAGCTATCACCCCAAAAGCTCTTCTAGCTATACAATAACATACAAAGTAGACTTTAAGGAAAGAAGCATTATTAGAAATAAAGTGGGATATTTTACAATAATACAAATATCAATCCATCAGGAAGATACAATAAGTCTAATTCTGTGCACAACTAGTAATATACTTCAAAATATATTAATTTAAAAATTCCCAAAACTGCAAGGAGAAATAGGTCTACAATAACAGTAAGATCTTTCAGTAACCAATAAAAAAGTAGACACAAATTAATAAGAACACAAATTTAAACAACATGATTAACAGGATTTACAAAATTGATATATATTGAATATTTCACCAAACAACTACAGAATTCACTTTCATTTCATATGAACATGGAACATTTACTAAAAGTGGCAATAACTTTGGCCATAAAGCAAGCCTCAATGTATTTCAAAGGATTGACATAATACAGAGTACATTCTTTGAGCAGAGGGGAATTAACCTAATGATATGGGAGGCTGAGGCAGGAGAATGGCGGGAACCCGGGAGGCGGAGCTTGCAGTGAGCCGAGATCGCGCCACTGCACTCCAGCCTGGGCGAACAGAGCGAGACTCTGCCTCAAAAAAAAAAAAAAAAAAAAAAAAAAAACTAGAAAGTTTTCAATATGTGAAAATTTAGCAAGTATACTTTCTAAATATTCCATAGGTCAAAGAAAGAAAATCACAATGGAATAGAAAATACTTTATTATTTATTTATTATTTATTTTTTGAGACAGAGTCTGCTCTGTCCGCCCAGGCTGGAGTGCAGTGGCCAGATCTCAGCTCACTGCAAGCTCCGCCTCCCGGGTTTAGGCCATTCTCCTGCCTCAGCCTCTGGAGTAGCTGGAACTATAGGCGCCTGCCACCACGCCTGGCTAGTTTTTTTTTTGTATTTTTAGTACATAACACACGAGAGGTTTCACCTGTTTAGCAGGTTTCTCGACTCTCCTGACCTCGTGATCTGCCCGTCTCGGCCTCCCAAATTGCTGGGATTACAGGCTTGAGCCACCGCGCCCAGCCTAGAAAATACTTTAAACTAAATCATAATGAAAGTATGACACAAAAAATTTTAAGATATAACTAAAACTGTGTTTTGGGCGAAATTTATTATCTTAAGGGCTAGAACGTATAGCTTTAAACAAAAATTACCTAAGTATCTCAAGAAGTTAGAAACAAAATGCAATTAAACTTGAAGAAAGTGTAAGAAAAGTTAAGAGAAAAAAGTAATGAAAAAAATGTATAGTAGGCTGGGCAGGGTGGCTCATGCCTGTAATTCCAGCTCTTTGGAAGGCTGAGGTAGGTGAATCACTTGAGCCTAAGAGTTTGAGACCAGCCTGGGCAACAAAATGAGACCCCCATTTCTAGAAAAAATTTAAAAGTTAGTTGGGTGTGATTGTACATACCTCTGGTCCCGGCTACACAGAGGCTGAGGCAAGGGGATCACTTGAGCCCAGGAGGTTGAGGCTGCAGTGAGCCCTGTTCATGCCATTGCATTCCAGCCTGGGCCTAGGTGAAAGAGTGAGACCCAGTCTCAAAAAAAAAAAAGGTACAGTAGAGAAAAGTCACTGAAAGAAAATAATGAAACTGGTAATTCCCTAGCAAAACTGATCACACATACAATATACAAATAAAAAGGAAGGAGGGCACATATTACCTCTATCAGACATTAAAAAAAAAAAAAAGACACCATTGTGGACCCCACAAACATTATAAAGTTGAAGAGAAAATATTTTGGACAACTTAATATCAATAAATTAGAAAATTTAGATAAAATGGGAAATTTCTAGAATAACCCAATTTACCAAAAGTGACACCAAAAGAAATAGAAAATCCGAATAGTCCTGTTATGAATGACAAAACATGCATCTATGAACAAATTTTTAAAATAAAACAGACTAAAATGTTTATGACCTTGTATTCCACAAATATTTCTTAAATACTATACACACACACAAAAACTACACAAATACTACACATAAATATAAAAGAGGCCGGGTGTGGTGGCTCACGCCTGCAATCCCAGCCCTTTGGGAGGCCAAGGCGGGCAGATCATGAGGTCAGGAGATCAAGACCATCCTGGCTAACACAGTGAAACCCCTTCTCTACTGAAAATACAAAAAATTAGCCAGGTGTGGTGGTGGGTGCCTGTGGTCTCAGCTGCTGGGGAATCTGAGGCAGGAGAACGGCATGAACCTGAGAGGTGGAGCTTGCAGTGAGCTGAGATCATGCCACTGTACTCCAACCTGGGAGATAGCAAGATGCCATCTCAAAAAAAAAAAAAAAAGGTATAAAAGAAGGCCAGGCACAGTGGCTCACACTGTAGTCCCAGCACATTGGGAGGCTAAGGTAGGATAGCTTGAAACCAGGAGTTTGAGACCAGTCTGAGCAACAAAGCGAGAACCTGTCTCTAAAAAAAAAAAGGAAAAAAAGAAAATTAATAAATTAGACTTATGCAAATAAAAAATTTTGCTCTTTATAAGTAACTATTATGAAAATGAAACTGCACACCACAGACTGGAAGAAAATATGTGTAAAATAAGCACCTGATGATAGGCTTGTATTAAGAATAATAAAGAATTCTTACAACTCAGTAAGAAGTCAAATTAAAATAACTCAATTTCTAAAATGGGCAAAAGATTTTAATAGACATTTCATGAGTGTCAATAAGCACATGAAAGCATGCTCAACATTGTTAATCATTGGGAAAATGCAAATTAAAACCATAACGAGATATCATTAGATATGCACTAGAATGACTAACATTGACAAGACTGACAATGCCGAGTGCTAACTAAGATATGGAGCAACTGAACACTCACATACTGCTGATGGGAGTGTAAATAGCATAATCACCTTGGAAAAGTTTGACAGTTTCTTAAGTTAAACATAAACTTATAAGACCCAGCAGTCCCAATCCTAGATACCTACTTAAGAAAAATGAAAACATATGTATATACAAATACATGTCTTGAATGTCCATTGCAGCTTTATTCATAATGGCTA